CACTAGACTCGGGCTCCATTAACGACCTTAAGTAATTTCACACATTCGTTGATTCATGAAATACCGTTTTATCATTTATTGAGCTTTAAAACCGTGATAGAAAATAGGGTGAGGGGTCCTTACACGTTTCGGGGTCCGAACACGGCTTCACAGTGCGCCTACAGGCTGTCCCTAATTTTTCCTGAATTTTTTCCGGGGAACTGAAACGCACTACTGGTACCTGTACGTTTTCCAAAAAATCCCAAAAAATCCCAAATTGTTGCTATGTACATTAGATGCCTAGAAGAACAATCCATAAAGGAAAACAGAAGCAGAGAAGCACAAAATGAAAAATTTCGAATCAGCAAAATGTTCATCTCATTACATTTAATTTTTCATAGAGGCTCAAAGAGCCATATTCACTTACATCAAATTTCAACAGGACTCTAAGAGTGGCACTCACCTATTACATCAAATTTCTTTCCAACGAAGCAATACAGGATATTACTTCCTTTCCAATGGTCTAAACAAATCAATATACAGCATTACATTCAGCTAATTGACATATCAAAGACTCTTCCCTAAGTGCAGCCCTGTTTCTTATCTCACTCATCTCAAGCTTAAGTTGATTGCTTGCCATCTCCTCACTTTTCATCTTGATCAGCTCAGCAGGTTTGATATCTCCACAAAGAACCTTTCTCCTCAAGTCTGGATTTTTTGCATCCCTCAGGTTAAACAGAATGGACCTGTACTTCATCTTTTGATTACCAAGGCAAGTACCCATCTGAGTAAACATCTCAGACTCCAACATTGCAGCAACCTCAACAGGATCCCTCAAACACATATTCTTTCCAATCTTTCCCCTAGATTCTGATGCTACCTTTGAGAAGGCTTCTTCAAGCATGGCCCTGACTTTTTTTCTTGGTGCATCTTCCACTTTCTGAGATGAAGGTGAACAGGAGTTTGCAATGGCATCTTGAGGCGAATGATGAGCCCTTTGTTCGAAGCTTTGGTTGACTCTTCCATCTTCAGAGATGAGGGTTGAAGAGGGGGCGAGTTTGAAACATTGTGAGAACTAGGCTGAGCAGGAGGTGCAGGGCGCAACTTGATGCGAATGATACCTGGCCGCGTCAACCTTTTTGAGACCTCGATCTCTCTCTTCTTTCACACATTGATAAGCCGGGAAGCTGCAGAGCAGATCTTTCTGCTCTTGTGCTTGCAGAGATTTTGAAGCGTCTTGTAGATGTTGTGGGTGTTGATGATTTCAGCATTGAAGGGACAGGTTTCAAGCTTCTTCAAACAATCAACACATCTGGAAATGTCAGATTTACCGCGAAGAATACCCTTTATGTTTGCAGAATCAGCGGTTTTCTTGGCAGCTGCAAGAATCTCCAATGTTTCATCCATCTTGAAATCTTTCTTGCAGGCAATAGAGAATCTGAAGAAGGAAAGGTTTCAACGGTTTGTTTGGAAGAGAGAAAGGCTGAAAGAGAACAGAGATTGAGATCTCTCTTTTTCTTATCACAGAAGCAAAGAAAGGGAAGCGATTTACAGAAGAATGAAAAAAATGGAAGGAAAGACAGAGAATGTCTTCTATTTCGAAACAAGAACGGAGACAAACTGTAAATCCCTTCTATCGATTTGGAACAGAGAAGGCCTAAAAGAAAACACAGAGGTTGAATCTCTCTTTTTCTTACCACAGAAGCGATTTGCAGAAGAATGAAAACAATGGAAGGGAACCCAGAGAGTCTCTTCTTCCTATTCTTGAAAACAAGAATGGAAACAAACAGTGAATGTCTTCTTTGGATTTCCGCTTCT